TTAATCAAGCATTAAACATCTGTGACTATATTGTTTTTTAAATTAAAAGATTGTCTTGGAAATAAAACTCTGAGGGCTCTATTTTTCTTGGCATGTACATATAGGCCTATATTTATGGTTCAATCATATTACACATTTTTTATGAATGAACTTGTGGATTGTTATTGTTGTAAGATTTGTAGGCATATCAGTCGTCTTATTACACATTCACACTCTGAATCAAATAGCAAAGCCATGTCTCTGGGCCAATATCTCTGAAATGCAGTTGTTGTTAAGGTTTCCGATGACCTTTCTTTTCCCTCGGCTCCAGTGAGTTTTGATATCTGTAATTCCTATGTTGTTCAATCCTTATTTCATATTCACTTCTTTTCTATATTTTGTATTGCAGTTTGTTGATTTGGAATACATAGTCAATATAATGGACAAATATCTTCATCAAATAATATTTAAACTAACCATTTAAATAGTAGAGACAAAAAAAAAACATTTTAAATGCCTCCCATCTTAAGGATAACATTATTGTTCATCAAAAATAGTTTGTACTTTAAAACCAATGACAATAATCATAATTTCTTTTTTTTAAATTTACAATTTGAGAGGAGAAAATCGTATTTAAAGGGAAAATATACTATTGATATTGCAGGCCTGTTTTACATAACTTATTCAGATAATGAACTTTGTATTAACATCAATGAATAATAAAATGTTGTTAGATGTTGAAGAACTTTTTGTTAGATATTTATGGATTGAGTTAAAGTGCTATTTAGGTGATGGAAGGAGGATAAGGGGGAGGGGGGAAGTATGTGCATGGTAACTTAACCTACTACCAAATATTAAAATTTTGGTTTTAGGACTTGCATGTGACCTTGAGTTATGGCATGTGATAGTGGAATTGAAAGAGACTGATTTTTTAGCACACATGTACACACAGCAGTGGCTACCACTTTGCCGAACATTCCTCTGTTAAATATTATTTGGTATGCATTTTATTACCTTTTGGTTTATAAAATTCCTCCTCCACTGGCAGTGTGTGTACTGAGATACGTAAATCTTGGCTGGATTCGATGATGGCATCAAACAGTGATGGTATGGGTACTTCAACGTCCATCACTGTACTTTTTGTATGGTATGGCCGATGGGTATTATTTTGTTTACATAAACCTGAAAAAAAGAAAAAAAATACTTAGTTTAGTTATTTATTGTACTTTTTATTTTACTCTTTTTGAACTTCTGGAATTTAACTTGCCATTGGTTTGGGAGTAGAGCTTCTTCAAGAGAACCGGTTGCTTGATTCTCCAGGGCATAAAGGTGGGCAAACTACGGCCCGCGACAACCCTACGTGTGTGCCCCACCCATCACCTAGAAAAAAATCCTTATATGATCAATCACCCAATGATCATCTGTATGCCCACCAGCTTTAGGGTCATGCATTTGTTTAAAGGAAAAAGAAAAAAATAATACTAAAAATGGTTAGAAACGGTCTTTGTTTCTGCAACTGAATGCATTGTTGATATCATTTGTGTCATCTATAATTTTTAACATTGTAGTATGATGATTCAATGTAATCACATTATTCACACTTTCCAAACTCATGATTTAATTACATGGTTTCCTTGCCAAGAAATCTTCATATCTTTCTCATCTGCAAGTGTTTTTCTTTCATTTTTTCACTATTTAATTCTCAAATTTCCATTACTTTGCAAATGACATTAGCAGCAGTGCTCAGAGATTTTAATTTAAACAGAGGAAAGTGAAGTATGCCAAAGGTTTTACATCTTTCAGTTTATAAAAATCGTTTGAATCATAATGTATTGTCGATATACTACTACTATGTATGATTTATAAATTAAGACGAAATCCCTTGCTTTAACCATGTATATTAATATAGACCTAACTCCAGGAAACAACACAATCATTACCATATGTATAGGTAATGTCACCTGGTAAAATAGTTTCTGTAATATAAGGTATAAGTCATTCAAGTTTCTTGACCTCTAAGGCTTTGTCCACAATATTATGTCTTTAGTGACAGATGCCTGTGATTTGCCCATATACCTGTATGGGTATGTTACAGCTAGACTTTTTATACCTTGTTTAGCGAACCAGTCATCCGCGAATAATGATGATTTTGAATAAAAATTAAATTTTATTTTTGGCAATTTAGCGCACCCGCCACCAAGTCAAAAGGGAAGATATAAAAAAAAAAGAAAACAATTTTTTCTTTATTTTTATTATGCACTCCACTGCCTTGAATCTCCACAAATGAGATACAGTGCACCCTCCAATTTGAGACCCCTCTAATTCGAGACCACTTTTCCAAAGACCCAAATAAAAACCTTTAATCTTTTAACACAAAGCTAGCCCTCTAATTGGGGAGCAACCCTGAGACCACGCCAAGTTTTTAGGTCTCAAAGGTGGTCTTAATTGGAGAGCGAACGGTGTATATTTAATAATGTATAATTTTTCCTAACTATATAAATTAAAAGAATTTAATCATCCCATTACTACACTGTGTACATTCACCAATAAAATTTGATTTTTATTTTCTCCTGCATCTGAAACTATTTGCGAAATAAGAAAACAAAAGTTTAATTTAATTTTTTCCACCCTCTGACGATCTTTAAAAAAATAAGTTCGCAAAACAAGATATAAAAAAATGTCACGCCTATATTATAGGTAATAGTGTTGTCATACTTCTTCTTTCCTTTATTTGCAAAATTGTACAAAATAATTCATACCAAAAAAATGTCTTGAATAAAAATATACGCCCAATACGGTGGTGTATATTGACATAGGTGACACTAAGTTTAAGTGGGAGCTCAATGATAAATTGAGGGAGAGTTAACTGGCAATGGAAGTGAAATTAGGTAATTTTTATCTATTTTTGAGCATATTCTTTAGTCAGCAACCACCCAGTGGGAGGTGGCTCGGGCATAAACATTTTTTTGGGGTTGGGGAGGATTATGCCCTACACCCACCCTATACTTTGTCAATTATTCTACCTGTAGTTTATGTATCCCAGCAAAACTATTTAAATTATTCCAAAATGAGTACAAATATAAAACTAAATAGGCCCTATATCTTTTAAATCAAACTCACAAAAATCTTTAAAATCATTTTATACTATATTGATGTTAAAGTTAGTGAATATATTGTGACGTAGAATTTGATCTTGTTTGGATAATGTGAAGTGTATTTGATTTACGGATAGCCTGAATGGAAAAAATTGGCTTACAAAATCTGCTCATTGAATTCCTACTACAACATCTTTATTTGATATAAGAAAGATGCTATCACTGAAAAAGTTGAACCTATGGGATTAGACAACTGGCTTATTCAGGAAGAGCTCAATCTAAATAAGGGAAGTTGTTGAACGACCTTGCTTGTGAACACTTCTACTCTTGCCAGTGAGCGGACTATAGGCCTATGATCTGCCCTGACAGTTAATTACGATATGAACCAGATGAAATATATCTCAGCCACTACTGCTCTTCAATGAAATTGTTTAATGGTATTTTGGAAAGTATGCCCAATACAAATTTTAACTTACCTATATTACCACCAGTATACTGAGGTGTAATATAAAAATGACCGTATTTTTTTTCTTTTTGATAGTGCTGGAAGTGTAAACATTTGCGTTCCATGGGAAGGACAGAAAATTTTCATGGGTTTTGTAAAAATAAATTTTTTACTATTTACCGCATATATACTTGCGTATAAGGCGATCTGCATACAAGATTTTTGGTTGGTTTTTGTATGTTGGGCGTGTAAGACGACCTCCCTGTTTCATCGATAGTATTCCTACTTTTTACTGCCTTTTATGTTATGATACTGCATCTAGCTGGTTAAATAAAAGGAGCCAAATGTAGGGCTAATCTTCAAAATAATACTATTTTACTTTCTTTTAAATGTTCATCAAAATCTTATTTCACTGTAGCAGTCATTCATAGTAACAGTTAGGAGTAACTTAATTTCAGTAATAAATTTGCGTGTTACAGACGATCCACACTTGAGACTAACATGATTTCTTGAAGTGTACATGAAATAGATTGGAGCTGCCCTGGTTTGTGCTACAAATGCAGGTGTAGCAAACATGTTGAAGTAGTTTGAGGCCCTTCGTTTTGTGGTAAAATAACACTTCACTCATCTTTTGAACATGCTAATTTGCACCTGTTGCAAAGCTGGCTATGGTAATCGAAACCTCGGAAGTAGGATTCATTGAAGCATGTGATAACTAGAGTTGGTCTGATATTATACCTCCTTTGACAAATGTCCATAAATGCCATTGCATTTTCATTTCATTAATAATGAATGAACATGTGTCATGCAATATCACTCTATTTATGCTTTCTGTTTCTTGTTTTTTTTTCAAAGAAAGGTTGAGAATTAATGTCAGAACTTCTGAAGATCTCTAGTTTGTTAGGCTTACTGATGGATTATAGGCCCTACAGTGGCAGGTCCAGGAATTTGAAATAGAGGGGGGCCCAGGGAGAGACTTTCACAGGCAGGGTCATGGGGCTGAGATAGGAAAATTTATGATTATGGTATTGGAAATAGCACTCTCAGACTTAAATTTGAAACATTTTTTTCTTTTTTTCTCCATTTTTTTTGTAATTTTAAAACATTATTAGTTCAAATTTAACTTCAAATGAAACATTGATTGATATAATTAGGTTTTTTGCTGGTTCACAGATCTCTTAGGGCCTGTTTCTGCTGAGAATAGAATTCCGGTTTCAAGACAAGTATTCTCAAAGATCCGTATTTTCTTGTCAGTGGAAATGGGTCCCATAAAATAAAACCCAAATTCAAATACCGGTTTTGAAAACCTCAATTGAATCTGGTCCCAATTGAATTCCGGTTTCAAGACAAGTATTCTCAAAGATCCGTATTTTCTTGTCAGTGGAAATGGGTCCCATAAAATAAAACCCGAATTCAAATACCGGTTTTGAAAACCCCAATTGAATCTGGTCTCGATCGCTGAATACCGTACTCAAACCCGTATTCACCGAGCAATTTTTAGCTGCAACACCATCACAAGACTAGTAATTAATCTGTGGGGGGAGGAAAAGATGAGGGGGAGGCTAGCCGGCTAGCTAGTTTGCCTAACAAACTCGCTGTGGGCAAAGATGACGTCATTGCACAACGACCTCCTTAGGAGAAACCGGTTTCTGTTCGTGTTAAAATTAAACTGCAATGCGGTCTTTGTTTATAAACAATTATGAAAACCGGTTTCACTGAATACCGTACTTTTGTATTTTGTCAGTAGAAACAGGCCCTAAATTGTTGTGCATGTAATTTGGCAAGAAAATTGTTTTGTCATTCTAATTTTCAATTAAAAACAAAAACATCCAAAAAATACAGAGTTTTAAATATTGAATGTTGGTTCAAGTTTATTCACTCAAAATAGCCTAGGTTGCAGTGTATCTGTTAAATTTAAAACATTATTGAATTAAATTTGTAGGGGAAAGATGAGGGACAAATCTTGATTGGTAGCCTGAAAGGGGAACATTCTGAGAAATGCCTGCCAAGTTTAAATCATGATTAAATTTAAATTAGTAGGGGAAATATGAGGGACATATCTAGATTGGTAGGGTGGAAGGAGCACAATACTGAGAAATGCCTGCCAAATTCATATTTAATAACATTCATCTTAATTTCATTTGACTGAGTATTATTATTATGTGGGCACTATGTCTGACATGGACATGTTAAGGAAACAAATAAATACGCAATTCTCAAGGAAATACTTTATCAAATAGGCCTACTTTTGTGAAACAAACCTGTAGATCATGAAGAAACATTTTCTCAAAAATGTAGGCCTAACCTACTTCTGAAACCAGCTAATGTCATGAGGAAACATTTTAATATTTTTTAATGAGGAAACCAGGGGCGGATCCAGAATTTTTCAAATGGGGATGGGGGGTACAACATTTTCAGAACAGATAAGTAAGTAGCACATAACATTGATATGAATTTCAAAAATTTAGTAGCAAAACGGGGGAATAGTCCCCCCCCCCCCTTACTGGATCTGCACCTGGAAACATTTCATTTGTATTAGAAGCTAAGCTTTATTTTGGTAGTTAAGATGCTTGCCTTCCAATCCCAGGTTTCTGAATTTAATTCCTGTCAAGGAATTCTCATTAATATCAAAACATAACTCCTAAGCTTTTTAGCAAGTTTATTGTAGAGCATCTTATATTGTTTGTCTTTTGAAAGGGAATTGTCACTTGAAAAATAATCAAGTTTGCTGTTAAAATATCCTTTGCCCTTGTGTCTAAAAAGTAAATATGTATATGACATGCGTGTTTGATACTATACTGTAAACGTGATGAGTAAATATTAAAGAATAGGCCTATATGTATAAGCCAAATGTTTATATTTTTCTAAAACATTTTAAAATAAATAAACCAATACGTTGATGTTGACTTGCGTAATTCAACATTAACCTTAGTATTGGTTTATTAATGTTTTAAAATATGTTGCACATATCAATTATGCAAAACTAGATGAAAATATTTAATCATTTATATTTTTCTGGCTTTATGATAAATATTTTTTTTTCCAATGATAGTACACTTTTGTTCTCAAAATGTTCTTATTTAGTTCTTAATTTACACACTTTTCAAACATAGAAAATTATCATTGTACAGCAATATACACTGTACTGGGAGGTAAAAGCGGCCCTGTAAAAAATGGCCCCTAAAAGAAAGGCCCAGCAAAAAAAGGCCCCGGTTTAAAAATGGCGAGGTAGGTACACCTACTGCACTGTATTATAGAGGGTATTACATAGTCACACCTACTGCACATAAGGTACAGATATAATTTTTTGAACAAATTCTCATGACCATAACTAATCAAGCCATAATCTATAGTAGGGTTGTGTACTATCATTTTTGTAGTCCATTGCAAATGAACCATTGAGTATTTGTCCTATAAAAAGTGCATTAATTTGACAGATATAGCCTACAAATGACCAGCGACCTCTGAAAGTACAAACAATTATTCAAATTGCTTACAGTACTTTACAAGTGATAAGTAGTTGTCTACATTTATTACCATATAAATAAATGTAAATAAATTGTAAGTGGTGGGCTTCCCGCTATTGAATGAGATTTTAATAAATAAATAATATTTTTTTTTATGATGACCTATCCAGAATACCACATGCTGAAATGCTTAGCTTCGTGTGAGCAAAATGGTCATCATTTCAATTTAACACTTTGATTTCCCAGCCAAACATAATTAAATGAGTGACATTTAAAAACAAGCCCATCTCGAAAAGAAGCCCATCAGCTTCTTTTCAAGATAGATGGGCTTTTTTTTTTCGAGATAGTGCAGTACATACACTGTACATGAGTTTCAAGGTAACAAAATAAATTAAAAACCTATGCTTGGTTTATACAGTAGTTTAGGCAGTGGCGGATTTAGAGGGGGGCGTAAGGGGCGTACGCCCCTCTATTTTTTTTGTAAAAAATTTGTTTTGTAAAGCTTATCAGAAATTTACCATGCTAAATATTAAAAATTAATCAAATATCAAATCAAAATTAATAAAGGTGCTAGAGGTTTAAGGGAGAATCTCCCCTTGCACTCCTAACAGGGGCACTTTCCTGAGACTGTAACTTAGTTCGGACATTCACATCCCCTCTTTCCTACCGGGCTGGATCCGCCCCTGTTAGGGGATTAATGCCGGTTAATACACTCCATGATTCTATGTTACAGTGGCCCTATTTATTGTTTTATGTAGTACATGTAATTCTTAAAATTTGCAGCATTCATTTTGAAAAGAAGCCCTCCTCTTTACTTTGCAAATGTAGCCTCGAAAAGAAACCCATGTCGAAATCCAAAGTTCACAATAAAATGAAGATGCCCAGGGCTTCAATTAAAGGTTTTACGCTAAAGTATTATTACTTTTAATTTACAATAAAAATATTTTCTCATTCTAATTCAATAACTTGCTTAAACATACAAATTAAGCAATTCAAAATCTTGAATTTTATTATTTAAATTTCTTAGCAGGACATTTCATGCCTAACTTGTAATTTCAACTCAAAGTGCAGATAAATTAATTCATAAACTCTAATCTTGAAAAAGCTTAATTTGAATTAGCATCCTTATTGGATTTAGAAAACTTCATCTCATTTTTGGTCACAATAATCAAGAGAATCTGCAGAGACTGGTTAATGTTGTTTTACAAAATGTTTTTGAGGGTTAAGCATTACTATAGTAAATTTAATTTAGCAGCTTTTCCTTGATGAATAGAAACTTAGAATTTGCCAATGGCCTCCTGGTACACTTAAATTGAATTACCTTGATTTTAAAAGGTGACACAAATCTAGGTTTATGTATAATTTCACTGGATACAATAAGATGTTGTTTTCACCACAAAATCAATTGAATTGTGTAAAGAGTGAAAATTAGATTAATACCTGTGGACGCCTAGGCATTAATGTACCCACTCATAGTAAAATTGAACATGGGCTTGTATTAAAACAACTCTTGAGGGTTTTAAATGTGAACTACATGAACTTTTAACATTTCTTTGCAATAACTTTGTTTCGAAATACTTACAGTATTGTGAAAGAAGTACAAAATGATTTATACAAATTTCTTATAAATAGATGCATGAAATGATAAATTATAGATTACCATTTCAATATTTTACCTTTAAAATTCAATTAATTGCTTTTTAAGTACTTTCTTCTGTATTCCTTAATGTTAAGTTAACATGGTTAAAAGGTTAATTATAGGCATAATTGTTCAATATCTTGCATAGTTTTATAATTTTGTATCACAAAACAAGGACCTGTTTAGGTAATGTAGGTTGTACCCTCCTGATACGTTATCCTATATAAAATATGTTAAATAAATAAATAAATCGTTTCCTACTGTTGAGGTGTTCTAAATATGTTTGAGTTTTTTCCTCAGGTTTATTCAATTCTCCTGCTAGATATGCAACATATTTTACTGCAGTTACTTCAGACCCACTTAAAATAAAACTCCTTTTCTGTTTACGTGCAATTTCTCATCATCTCTACCAATTTATGAGGCAAGGAATCGGCAAGATGCTGTGTTGCTAAATTGGCTAAGACTTCAGATCCGCTTTTAATCATAGCCAAAAACACTCCGACAATTTGATGATAGAAACTTCCATTCACTACCAATCATTCAATTCCAAAAAATCATCTAAATATGGGTCACATTGTATGACTAAGCCTTTGAGTTCACACTTAATATCCAGATCGGAGCTAACCAAGCCTAAACCGTTACGCGTGTGAGAGCGCTATTGGTTGCAAGTTGATCTTATTTTTATCATTATCCAATAAGACGTACGTATTTCTAATTTCCTATAAGTCATTGATCCCACCATCATCTTCTTGATATCTGGATCGGGAATTTTCTTGTATGAATGTAACAGTGAACACGTACCGGTTCGTTATTAATCTGGATCCTGTTAACCGTTAGGTGTGTTTGCATGTGTGTGTGTGTGTGAACATAACCATAATCTTAAACTAATAGTAGAAAGAGTTTATCTCTACTTGTGCATGCAGTAATACCTTCTACAGAAATAATTAACATCAAGAAGCTACTAAAAAAAGGTCCTAGATAAAAGTTTTGCCCAGGGCTAAGTGATTGGGGATGTTGTTCAGTCAATAGGTTCCTGTTATTTAGGTTAGGTTCACAAGGCGGCAAGTTGGACTTAAAAGGAGTCACACACTATCATAATCAATTGAAACGAGAAATTGACAATCAATCAATTTAACCTTCTTATCCTGAAAACCATACCCTAGTTGACAGACTAGATACGTTGTGCAATAATGCAAGTCTATTTGTGTTAAAGTGAACCTGATTGTGCATTGCAAAAAATGGGTGATAAGATCCAAATTCTAAAATGTTTTGACTAAAAAAACTGTACTAAACGTAATGTTCTGGCCTCATATTGTGAAAGGTTAATAATATAAAATAATAAATATACCATAATAATTAAATTAAAAACTTACCAACACAGTCACAGCAGTCAAAATATTCTCCCCCTAAACACTTGGTACAGTTTGCACAGCAACTACAATTACCCATCAAGCACTTTCCACAGGCGCCAATCAACTGACATTTGGTAACTATCGGTGCACAGTGCTCATTGCACGATAATACGACATACACCAACGCTATCGCTAACACACCAACAAACATGTACGGTTTCATGTCAACCTGTAAATTAATATTTAAAAAATGGTATAAAATCCAGCAAATTAAGATCTGTACATTTAGGAAGGAAATCATAAAATGGGCAAATGGACCTTTCTGGAGCAGTGGCGGCTCTAGGGTATATTTTTCTGGGGATGGGGGGGCTGAGCTGTCCGACAGGGAGGAACTTGAGCTCGTAGGCCCAGGCTGGGGGAAGGGTCTTAGAGGGTGTTCCCCCCTCCCAATGAGATTTTTTAAAGGAGAGGAACCTCTGGATGGCCAGAAATGACATTCTCAGTCTGTAACAGGTATGTGTTGACTTGGTGTGGGCTTATTTTTATATTTTTTTAGTCTATTGATTGATTGATTGATTGATTGGATTTATTCGGTGTAAACACCAAGGATAGCCCACGAAAGTCTAGAAGAAGACTTATTTTCAGTGGGGTCCTTCTGGTGGTGATTGGGCAGTACACTGGGAGACAATCCCCTACTCTTTTCCGAAGAGTGTACTGCATTCTTTAACATGCACATGGGCCATAAATGCACACAAGATTCAATCAAGAAAACACAAGCATGCAGTGCAATACACGCTCCAATGCACATACTGTAACCATGGAGGCTGTAAGTAGTATATGCATATATGCAATACACTTGCATATTCATGACCTCTTTAATATGCATGAGATAATCACGGTGTTGGTTAATTAGTATTTACCTCATGAAAAATATACTTATTCTCATTTACATAAATGTATTATATATATTGAACACTATGAGAATTCAGTAAATTACAAAAGAAATCTTTGGTAGAATATTTATTTTCCGACATTTATTTGTGCAAGAAACTCTTCCATTTATATGCATATCCTGCTATTGTTACTGTAGTACTATAGGCAGAAATTGTTATCTAATCTCTTTTGAATTTTACCAGAAGGGTAGAACACCATTAGGTGCTACCCAGTTAATGTTTAATGGTAATTGTTATTCATAGGTTGTAGCATTGTTTATATTGATATTAGAAGTATGTTTTTGTTTGGAATTGGTATTTTCATGTCAGTAGGTCTTTTAGGTAGTAGTGCATCCAAAGGGGAATAATAGCAGATCAAGTAACTTTCAAAGCTTCTATAGTTACTGGTAATTTATTGTAATATAATTTTTTTTATAGTAATACTTTGGAGAAAAGAGAGGAGTTTGAATAAGCTACATTTATGTTGAGTTTATCATATGTGTGATAATTTTTCATTTCCATTTATATGTATGTCTGAAATATTGTACCGAATAAATTGAAGAGAGAGAAAAGCTGACATTGATATACTTGAGAACTTAAAATTCTGCCAAATTAATTCTGTTTAGAAAGTAGGCCTATAGCATAACTGGAGAAATAGTTTACAGTAATGACAGTATTTGACACAATAGGAAGGATGTTGAGGAACATGATTCAATTCAAAACATGCACAGACATACATGCTACAATGCACGTAGATACACCAACAACATTCGTAGTGAACATAATACTGTAATCCATATGGTCTATATAATTTCATGCGAGTCATACTCAAAATTGATTATAAGTACTTGCTTAATGTAGACTATAATTATTATTGATTATATTTCTGTTACTATTAGAATATTAAATTTTATTACTTTTAATTTTTCTATGAGACTTTAGTTCAGCATGGAAGAAAAAAATTACCCCAACTGTAATCATTAATGAGAGGTTCATGTCATTAGGCCTACATGAACGTCCTTTCCATCTATATAATAAGAGATAATGCAACCTCCATAGCGCTGGATGCACGCCTATGGTTGCTACTGTGTATATTCGTACCTGGATATACATGCAAATTATTACAATGTGACAGACAATGCGATTTTTAATTACTTTCATGATAGTATTAATGTGTAGAAAAATTACATAACATTTGTTAGCATCATAATCAATGTATGAGTATTCAAATTTAGGCAACTGGCAATAACTTTTACAGTTTATAAATTCTGTATTTTTTTCTGACTAAAGAGTGCACTAAGGACTTATTTCCATTCTACTCTAGATCAAAGAGCTTGATACCTTATCTCATGAGTTCCTTCCTTTGATCTTTCATGAATGAACATTGTAACCAAGATACAGGTGGGTATTTAAATTTGTTAAGTAAGGATTGTATTTTGGAAGTATTTAGTATCATGGGTGATTTTTTGTTTTGTGTATTCTTATATACATAAACGTCCTATACACATATTCTCTTTTTTTTCTATTTATATTCTCCTATTTAATTAATTATTTAATTATATATAATTCTTTTGAGAAAATGACATTTATATTGTGAATTACTTTTCAGTTTTATATAGGGTTTCTACAGTGCTAATCAACAGGCATTAATGCTATCAAATCTCTTTTGAATTTGTCCAGGAGGGTAGAACACCATGAGGTGCTACCCATTATAATAATTGAAAAGTAGAACTTTGACAATATTTATTGTAATATAATTATAGTATATGTAATATAAAATTATATTTATTATTTAATACAACAGGTGACAAGCATCCTGACCATGGCTCTCTCCTCATGATTATTGTTATACAAAAATTGAAATATACAGTAAATATAGTATAGGCCTATAATGCATATAATGTGGAATAATTGTGTTGATTATTTCTAAAATCTTAATGATGTGCACAAAACATATGTAATTAATTATTTTTGATTATAAAAGTTCCCTTTGAACATATTATTATTATTGAATACTCTGACATGAATAAATATGAATATAACCTTGGGCATAAAAAGTATACCTAATAAACAAATTTTGATCATTTTCTAGTAATTTAAGTGAGTAAGACCTATTTATACTTTTGTTAAAACTGCTTAAACTTTTTTTTTTGTTTTGATATGATTAATTAAGAATTACAGTAGAACATAATATAGTCTGTAGATGAATAGAATAGTAGGACTAGATTTGAAATTCATATAAAAAAAGTCTTCTAGAAAAGAAATTTAAAGCCTTTTCTACATTCAGGTTTTATCAGTTACCTTATACTATAGTATATTTCATATTAAAATTAAAAAGTTACATTTTTAATTGTGAATAACTTCTTTGTTTATATAGGTGTCCTACAGTTATATTTAACAGGCATAAATGCTAATAAAACCTCTTTTGAATTTAACCAGAAGTGTGGAAAACCATTAGGTGCTACCCACATACATAATAATAGAACTTTGCAATTTGCAACTCACTCAGAGATGTGGTTATGGTGGGTGGAGTGACCCAGAATAAAGCTAATTTGAAGGCCTTCCACCCAACTTCATTAACTCCCTTGCCCATACATTTTTTTACAGTTAACCTATCAATGTTATCATCCACTCACCCTAAAAATGTCTACCACCCACGCTTAGCTTTCTACAGTTACAACCATGCTCACAGAGTTATGAAATGAGTATTTATAGACATTTAATTCGTAGAAGTGGTTTGGCGCAGTGGGAACGGTTTGGGTTCCCAACCTCGAGGTCGGGGTTTTAATCCCCCCCGCTGTGCATTTTGCTTGTGTCCTTGGGCAAGGCACTTTATTTACATTGCTTCTCTCTACCCAGGAGTATAAATGGGTATCTGGTAAGGTTAAATGCCAAAATGCGCTGATGAAGCTGCTGCACTTTATGGAACAGTTTGTGTTCCATAGGGGTCTAATTCAATGACCGGGGGTAGTAATTTGAAGCGCTTAGAGGCCTTGTTGGCATTAAGCACTATATGAATATAACATATTATTAAACATAATAATTAACCTACCATAATATGGTAGGTTTATTAAATGTCTATAAATATAATAATATCTATAAAATATTGCTAGTGTTGTTTGTTCCAGGTTAGGAGGCACCTGATCCCAGAAAAGATCAAGACTTAACCGATGCTAACCGGAGTACATAAACACAGATCTCCGGTTGGCGGTGATGGTGTAACCCCATACTTCGTGCTGAATATATTCAGCTGTCCCTAAATAACAATTAACAAATTTAAATTAAATCTAGGATGTGTCCCAAATTTGTGTACATACAGTAAGCCATTGATTATTCATTAGAAGGACACTCTAATATAATTCTAAAGCTACAGGTCAACAAACACAATTTACTGAGTTTCACCACTATAGATAAACACAAGTCAATGTTGATTATCCTTTTAGATAATATCCTTTTGAATGCTGTGGCCGGACATTGCATTGTGAAAATAGGATACTTATTAATTTGCATTAATTATGTTTTATCTGCTCCAGTAATTTGCTTGACTCTTGAAAATTATTCGGAGAGCGGAAATCAAAGCAGATCGAGCTGTAGGCATATTATGCAGTTAGCATTTCATTATAGATAATGTTTCAATCTCTTATATTTCCGTAAATGTTGTTGCCAACTCCTTCCCTGTGGGTGTTGCATTCCTATAGTCTTTATTTCATTTTGGTCATATCTAGTTTAGTTCACCATCCCTCACTTTTGAATAAGATTCCGTGTAGGCCTAATGAATATACTGCAAAATAGAAATCTGTGTTAAGCTCTTGAGCCTATTTTCGCCTAATATGACTTCCTTTATTATTTTTAAGGAGGTAATTTTGATTCATTATGTGCTTGTTCAACATTACAATGTGACTCACCAGTTGTATGTAAGAGTTTTTCTATACTAAATCTTATGAGACTTACAGGGACGTAGATTAGTGTGGGTGACGGGCACCCACGCTTGAAGTTTTCCACCCAGAAGGCTTATTTCATGACCCTCCACCTACTTTTATTAACCCCCTTTACCATCCTTAAAATCTACTCTATAAATGTTATCACCCACCCACCCTTAAAATGTCTACCCACCTACCCATAGTTTTCTATAGCTACAAACTGTAGACTATGATCAATTGATTTTTTATGGCATCAATAAGAATTTGAGCCAGCATCATACAGTAGCTGTCATAGTACATTTGATACAATAGGAAACAAAACCACAAACAAGCTGAAATCATGTCGTTGGCTCTGCACCTGCAGTAGTATCTTAGTA